ATTGAATTTCGACACCTTGCCTTACCTAGTGGTACCTGACCATACAATACACATGTGGCAGATAGAGATTAGCTGGAACATAGATGATGTACTCCTTTAAAACGTGTTGAACAAGTTACAGTAAGAAACAAGAAGATTTTCCCTGAAATACGTCATGCAGCTGATGCATAATGAGGCCTTTAGGTAGAAAATTGGCACTATGACACAGGTGCCTGGTTGTCTATGCCCAGATTAAGCCTAATTCCATACTAAAAGGGTTTTCAACAGAAAGTTCCTGATGTAGTTCCAGTTTAGTAGGCCAAGTATGAGAAAATGCTGGCTAAAGAAGCTGTCAGTGAGACATGGGTTTAGCCGTCATCACGTATCTATAAAATTTACAAATGCATAAACCTCTGACTTCATACAAGGAAGTGAACGGATACCTTATATGGGATTTCTGAAAAGGTTTTGACTGATTTCAGTTGAAGCAGCAGAAAGAAAAGGGTGACGTCTCACAATTGGAACACCGCACGTACAAACACACACACATACACACGCACACACGCACACACTTACACACACACTTGCCCTCTCAGTGTCAGACTTTTCCACAAAGTCGCTTGAGGCCACAGCTGATATCAGGAAATGAGCAAACCGCAAGGACGTTAACATTAGCCATTCTGATAACAGATGCTTATTACTCTATAAAACAATATACAGCAGATGAGAGAGGTTTGAGAGAGAGCGAGGTAGTATATGAGTGAGTGGGAGAATATTAAGGAGTAAGTGTACCTGGCAAACGGGTAGCATTTCGTTGGCCTGCGCAGAGTCTTCAGTTAAATTGGGTCCATATGTGTCCACATCTCAGAGTAACTGTCATGATCTCATTCATTCGGAATTTAAATTACATTGACAGTCATTTGGAAATTCAAAGAAAAAACATCTTAATTTCTAATAGCTATAGTTTAACTTTAATGTATTTAATGAATGCCGATTGGTCACTTCATTAGGTACACCTTGTGTCTACACTCACTGTCCATTTTATCAGCTACACTGTCCATATAGGAGCACTTTGCTGTTCTACAGTTACAGACTAGTCCGTCTGTTTCTCTGCATACTTTGTTATCCTGTTCTTCAGTGGTTGGGACCCCCACAGGACCCCCACAGAGCAGGTATTATTTGGGTGGTGGGTCATTCTCAGCAGTGATACTGACGTGGTGGTGGTGTGTTAGTGTGTGCTGTGCTGGTACGAGTGGATCAGACACAGCAGTGCTGTTGGAGTTTTGAAACACTGTGTCCACTCACTGTCCAATGAAATCAACAAAACATGTAATTTGACCGTGAGGCCCAATCTTTTGCGTTCTACTATATGCACACATACAGGAAGGCCAGTAAAGTCTACATCTCATCCTTCTCTCAGGGACTACGTAGCTGACAGTAATTATTATACAGTGATCACTGTAGCACGGAGCTAGAATAGTAGACATAACATTAAATTTACATGGGGTTCTGGGGTAATTTCCTTTTTACATGTGCTGCTCTGTGATTTTCTCTCCATATGAATTGGCCATGTTGGTATTTTTCTCCCTCCTTCCCTTAAAAAATGAAAACCAAATTAGCTACTGTCTTTGACCAAACTTAGCAATGGTCTGAAATATTTAGTCCTGGATGCACATCCCAGTTATTTTCCTGGCAGATGTTGCTTCGCATAGAGTATCCATATTAAACGCTTTCCGAATTGCAAAATCGTGGAAGAGTCTCTCTTGTATGTGCTTGGTTTGAGTGATAGAACTTAATCTCCGCCCTCTCTACACTGGGAGAGCATTGGCAGGAGGAGAAACAAAGTGAAGCCAGTCAGAAAAGTGAGATCCCAAAGAGTGACTGAAGCAGTGATTATAAAGGCAGCTTATATATATATATTTATATAAAATAATGGCAAGTCTGTCATTGAGTGCGTTTACACTCAATGATCCGCTAACTGTAGAAAGTCAGTTTTTGTCAGTAATCTGGTCAAAACATTTACATGCTCTTGAGTAATCAGATAATGGGGGAACTCCAGGTCTACATGAGTCAGGCAATAATCGGATTTCTGCTTTGCAACCAGCTAATAGACTCACAGAAGACGGCGTGACATAAACATAATGTAAAACTCAAACTTCATACCGCAGCTTATTTTTTTAAACATCGCACCACTTTACCTGAAAAATATAAACTTACATCATTTAGAAGATCAAGAATTCAAATCCTTTATTTCGTGTTTGGTTTCAGCACCTCTCTAAAAGTGTTTTGCTGCATCTCACGACATCCACCGTCTGTTCTTGCGCATGCACAGACTGAGAAATCCGAAAGAAATCAGAGTAAGAGTTCACATGCACTGAGAAATCTGATTACTGAGCTAAAATCCAGCCTCTTTATTAGATTTCTTAATCGGAGTTCTAGATCGGAGTATGGCTGTTTACATGACCATTTGAATAATCGGATAACTGCAGAAATCTGATTATGATCGGATTATTGAGTGCATGTATATGCTCTCATTGTCAGTTCCTGAAACACCTGGGTTTGTTGAAAATACAACCAAGATGCAAAATACATGGGGTCCTGGGGGTCCGACCGAGGCCCCCTAATCAACTTCTTGGACCCCCTGAATGCCTCAAAAACAAAATTCTGGTGCATCCCTGGAAATAAACTTATGACGTCATGGTAACCGTTAAAGAAAAATAGACGCTCACAATTGGTTTCTGTCTTTGGTATTCTTAACTAGATGTATCACTGCTCTGTCTCAGAGTGGCGCTGTGAAAAACTGGTTCACCCAGTCGGTTCTTTATTGCCTAGCAACTGTAACTATGCCTGAAATACCTCTGAAAAACTTTACAATATGCCGTAACATCTGAGAACTTGCGCAATTTTCTAAGAGTTTGGTGGAAAGAGAGAACTGTTACTCTTTTCTCAAACTGAAGCCAAAAGAGGAGATGAGTAAGATCTCAATGTGTGGAAGAGCGCACTGCCAGACTAGAAAAGAGCACTTCCAGAAAAAGAACTGATAAACCAAACATTTAGGTGCCGTTGAAGCATCAGCGCCGCTGTAGCGAGTAAGAAGCCAGCCAACACTGGAGTAGCCAGCTGACGTGGGACCCTTTGAATGCCAGGGGGTATTTTGCACACCAAATACAACCCACTAGAAACTTGCGGTAATTTTATTGCCATCCAGATGCAACAGTTTTATCAAGGAGGAGATGTGTACCAGTTTTATCACAGATGTTCCCTTGAGAAACTAATCCAATCCAAATAGGATTTTAGACTGCAAAACAGAGTTGCTGTGGATTTCAACAAAAGGGCCCTTCATGTTCGACTACACAAACCAAAAATGATTTATTATTGCACCCTAAATGTTGCTTATGAGCTCAGATTAGATTATCAGTGTAGAAAAACAGCACCACACACTTGTATGTACATGCACATGTAACTGTAGCTGAGCGCAGGTGGTATTTTTGCAGAGGTATAACAACGGTCATACTCGACTGCCGCCTAGGTTTATTTGTCCATCTTTCCTCCGACTTTATAAAGCCAGATAGTTGTGTGTGTGTGTGTCTCACAGTGGGTGGGCTGGTTTGAAGACACTCTTAGTGCCGAGGGTCTGAAGCTTGCCTGATGGCTTTGCCAAATAAACAGCAGAATTGGCGAGACGGTGTGTGCTACCTCAGGCAAGTCAACAGAATAATGCTCGTACTGGTGCCTGTGCCTTTGGCAAACCCTGAAGGAAAATAAGAGGCATATCCACAAGCTCCTCATCGTCGTACCACAGCGCAGTGTCAGTTACAGTACTCTGACGTGACTGCAGACGTCAACAAGAGTTTCTCCACGCTAATGGTTTGGTTTAGAGGCCTCTCTGACCGCAGCTGGAACAATCATAACTCTGGTCTTATAAAAGGATGAGTATTACAAGATGACTGTATATTTTAAAGGGTAACTGTTTTCCCTGAACACATCATGTGTGCTCTTAGGAGGGCAACACAATATGGGGAAAGTATTATATTGTGATTATATTGTTACATATTGGGGAACCTTTGCTGTGATTTGATTAACCTTTTAAAATCCCAGGCTTATTACATACTAAGGCCTATTATTCAGCAACTACAGGGACTTCAGTGGTTGAGCTATTCGTAGATTATAGAAGTGTGTATTGAAACTCTATTTAAACTCTGTTTATGGGGTGAAAGCTCGTCCTGCATTATTTTGGCCAAAAACCTATATGTTTGTTGGATTACTTGATTACCTCAATTCATCAAAGCACCCACAGGAACTCATATGGAACATCTGAGATCAGTCAGAATGCTCACAACTAGAGTTGCACAGATACCATACTGGCACAATCTGTAACATCAGTATTTCATGGAAGGGCAGTAGTAGTGGGTGATATACATAACACAACATACACACAGTGAAAAACACACTAATAGGAGCTTCTTACCTCAATGGCTGAGTCAGTAATCACTCATCTGCTGCTGTGCGGTCAGTTACAGCCTGAGTCAATGTTAGCCCAGGTTGTTATTGAGGGAGTGAATGTTAGGGAAACACATGCAAAACAGCATTAAGCACCAATTTTTCTGAGCTAGAGAAGCAGCTGCATGCTTACATGTGCAGACCACAGTTCATCAATGTATTGTTGAGTTCTATTTTAACTATTTTGCACAATAAAATTATTTACATTTAATTCTTGTGTTAAATATGTTTTTTCTTACTGTCAGTGCACGAGCTTAGTCATAAGCATCTGTAATTGTTGGATTTTATATATATATATATATATATAGTATTGGTACTTGATATCGGACGATACTCAAAGATCAGGTATCAGTATCGGAAAGGAAAAAGTGGTTTTGGTGCATCTCTACTCCCAAACAAAAAACAAAAGGCTAATGTAGTGAAATAGATTAACAAATGATATATTGTACTGTCTTAACTTTAGAGTGTTGCAAAAGTGTATTGAAATTTCAGCAGTTTTGATGATGTTCTCCTTTTTGCAGGACAGTGTTGGAGTGACGATGCGGCTACGGGCCCTAGTGTGGCGACTCCTCCTGCTCCCCCTCTTGGTGCTTCCTTGGACACTCTGCAGTGCCTGTCCAAAAGACTGCACATGCAATAATCCACAGTCCATCTTCTGCATCCAGCGACGCTCTTCCTCTATGCCCCTCAATCTCCCTGCCTCCACAAAAGCCCTGTATGTGTTCCAGAATGGTATCACCTCCCTGCAACATCAGAGCTTCCTCGGTCTGGCCGAATTGCAGATGCTAGACCTCAGCCAGAACCATCTCACGGAGATTCCAGATGGAGTTTTCGGGTCGCTTGCTTCCCTGCACAACCTAGACCTATCTTCAAACTTCATTACCCACCTCTCCAAGGACAGCTTTGCTGGACTGGTAAACTTAGAGAGGTTGTACCTCCACAGCAACCGCATCCAGAGCATCCACCCGGCTGCATTTAAGAATCTAGAGCACCTGCTGGAACTGAAGCTGCAGGAGAATAAGATAAGCATACTGCCTGCTCTCCATCTACCCAAATTGCTCCTTTTGGACATTAGCTACAACAGCATCCCCGCTCTTGGACCAGCGGACCTCCAGGCACCACACTTGGAGTCGCTGAAGATGGCTGGACTGGGACTGACCACCTTGGATGAAGGATTAATGAGAAGTTTAGGGAACCTGCACGATCTGGATGTGTCTAACAACAAGCTGACAGGGATGCTACCTGCTCTAAGATCAGTGAAAGGGTTGATCCACCTTAACCTGACTTCTAACTCTCTAGGTCTGCTAAGGCAAGAAGATTTCCAGAACTTGGTGGGATTGCAGGAACTGGACATAAGTAGTCTGAATCTACAAGGGTTCCCTGTAGGCTTTTTCCAGATGTTCCCCAGATTGCACCATCTCACAGCTGCTCAAAACCCCTTCAATTGTCTGTGTCCACTGGCCTGGTTTTCCAGTTGGCTGAAAGAAAGGAAAGTTGAGCTTGGTCGGAAGGACGAGACACGCTGCCACTTTCCTCCCTTAAATGCAGGCAGGAAGCTGGCTGAGCTGGAGAACAAGGACTTTGGCTGCCCCACCACCACCACTGAGCTGTCTGACGTACTTACCATCAGCAGCACACACAATCCTCCAGATCCCACAACTGCTTTGCGAACCACCCATGCCTTCCCTCCTCTTCCTCCCAGTGATAAGCCATCAGTTGAGACATACTACCATCTGTCTCCCAAGGCAACTGCCTCCCCCAGAAGTCACGAAGATCAGGTAGAACACATGTGCCCCCCAAACATCTGCTTGAATGGGGGCACATGTAGATTTGACCAGCAGGGTCAGGTGGACTGTCTGTGTCAACCAGGTAGATCTGGAACATACTGTGAGAACTGGGACGAACCCCAGCCTCCACTGTTGTCTCCAAGGAATGATGTGGTTCCTACGGCTTCTATGGTAGACAACATCAGCTCCCATCATGTAACCAGCACCTCCATCACACTGGACCTGCACCGTTACATTGAATCACGGCCACACATCCGTGGGATTCGCTTGGTTTACCGGAACCTGTCTGGACCAGACCGCAGACCCCTACAGCTCAACGTGCCTCCTACCTACCCAGAGTATACGCTGAGAGGGCTACAGCCCAACTGCACGTACTCTGTATGTGCCAGTCCACTGGGTGAGCCTGCAGAACATACCAAGAGCTCCTGCATGGAGGCTCGAACTGGCGGAAGGGAGCAGCCTATTATAGAAGATAAACCTTCTTCTACTCTTGTACCCATACTTGTAGCAGTGGCTGTAGTCATGGCAGTAGCCATAATTGCAGCAGTGGTGGTGGTTTCACGCAGGAGAAGGGCCAAAAGCCCCGCAGATATGGATCTAGATGAGCCAGCTCCTTTTGAGTTAGAAGGAGTCAAGACATGCTTGGAGAATGGGGCAACACCTAAAAAACACCCTGAGATCATGCCCTGCCCTCCAGTATCTCAAAACGGCATGGAGTATGAGATCCCGCTGATCCAAGAACAATTCACAGCCAACAACAACACAGATGGCAGGATACCCTCATACACTAAAATGCAAAAATGTGCTGCTCAGACCTCCAGCCCCTAGGGGCAATGTCCTCCGTTACCCCTGCAGGCAGGCAAAGTGTAGACACTGCACATTTTGGTGGGCAGATGAGCAGTTTGCATCATTGTTGGTCAAGTGTGATTGTTAAAACTGACTTGTAAGTATTTAAACCAAGTGCAATTGCCAACTTAAGGTATTCAACGTTGCTGAATCAAAAGTGCCTTTTTGCATGTTAAAAACGGCAAGCTTCGACTGCATAGCTCTCTAATGAAGCTAGAAGCGGCACATTACTAAGTGTTGCTGGACAGGAGAACACACTGTTTTCATGAAATCCATGCACCTAGTCATGCTGGTGCTGAGACAAAGAGGAAAGCAAGGCAAGGGTAGGCTGGGAATCTAAAAGACTTTTAACATACCTACCTTTTGACTGCAGGCTTGTCCAGAGCTGAGGTTAAAGATCAATGTGAATCTTTTGTCCTGTTTTGACATACAGAAAAAGACCAGTACTCATTGACTTTATGGAAAAATGGGATTGACTGATTTTTTCAAAAGGATGTACGAGGGCATCTCTTTTTCTCTAGGAAAACACGCGCTGATCTGTGACTGTCTCTGCTCCTCTGAGAAACTGTGCACTGATTTGAGTTTAGACTCTGTGACAGAGTCCTTCAAAAGGCCTAAAGAAGAGATCCTGGACAGGTTCTTCAGATATCTTTCCTTCAAGCTGCAGCTTTAAAATGCCTCCTTACCACTTAAGTCCTTTTATAGAGATTTGCTGTGAAATACAAAACTTACCATGAAGAGACTGTTTACCCTTTTGCATAGGTGGTGTTATGTATGTGAAGGTTTTCTTTTTTGAGCTGATATTTTATTTTTCTAAGGTTTTGTATCTTGAAACCGCTGATATTGTTACCAGTGCCATCATTGTTTCTCTTGCATTGTAATTGCATGACTAGCAAGCGTCTTCCATCCACCTAGAGAGGCTGGTTTGTAGTGCATCCTCTGACAAGTCATTAATTGCAGTGACAGTTACCATTGTCATTTTTCATAATGGCATTTAGCTTAATGCTATTACAACAGATATTGAAAGGAGCGCTGTTGAAGTTAACGTGGTAATACTGCGTTAACAATGTGTTAACCCTTTAATTGTGCTAATTTTTTTTTAACACCATTAGCACATTTTCCTAGTTTAATCCTTCGAACCATCCGTAGTAGTGCTAGCTGACGCCCAGCTGCTCGTGCACTGTTGTTATGACTCCACGACTTTATCTCTCGGATTCAAATACAGCTTTTAAATGGAATGTTCTGTTGCTAGTCCCCCTTGCTAAATGCTAATTCCAGCTAGTGCCATGGTGAATTTGTTTTTTCCCTTAGATAGATGAAGTCTGAAGTATCATTTACAAGCTGCTGAGGCTTCTGATATCAGTAATTCGGCAGTACCTGAGCTCGTGTGAGACCTATGAAGAAATCAACAAGCAGCAAACTAACAAAAGCAACAGCAAAGTGGAACACTCCAGTTTCCTCCACTGTAAGAAGAACAAGAGCTGGAACCATTGCTTGTGTGTATGTATATATATATTATATATATATTATATATATATATATATATATATATATATCTCATACTCATTGGTTGGAACGTGGAGCCACTGTTGCTCTCACTCGACGTCGGCGATCACTCATATAACTATAACAAAATGCATCTTTTTATAAAGAAAAAAATCTTTCTCTAGGGTCAAGTGTGGGCAAATAAGACAAATGCAATCAATCGCTACACAAAATAATGCAGCTAATCATGATGAATTATTTTACACCCATGATTGAAAATGTTTTACGTTTTATTTACATTTCAGTCCACTGTAACTTGGCCCATCATTGAATGTTCAAGGTCTCGTAGTGCTTTTTAATCATTAGTCAGTGGACTTTAAACCAGTCCTAACTGTTAAACTTTTCATTTTTCCCCAGTGCAGTTCTAGTTCAAAGGCATGGTTAATGTTTTAGTCTTAAAGGCTTCAACTACAAGTTGAGCACTTGAACTACAAATTAGAAGTGCTCCAGACATCTGACAGCAGTGTGACACATGACAACAGATACAGTACTCAACAGTACTGTGACGGTTAGTGCAAAATAATGAAGTGCGAATCTAAATTGCTAATCTCAAAAATGCTACTCAGACATGGTACAATAGCACAAATGCAAAAAAACTACAGAGGGAACTCTAAGTCTTTTGCCAAATTAAGGGTGGTGATAACCTCATACTGACCATGCTGTAGGCGGTCAGTCCCAAAAATGTGCAAACTGTGTGTGTGGGCTTTACTGCCATCAGACAGAAAAGGTTCAAAGCTATGTGTAGTTTGTGTTTATCCATAGTCTGTCTGGATCTGAGAATTGCAATCATGTTGTAACACTTAAGAAGGCAAAGCCGCTCCTTTATCTGCTGTTTGATCTGCAGTCCAAAAGAGCTCAACAACAGAAGTGGATTTGGTCTGTAAGTGAGATTCTGGGATGAATGCTGCGGTTATTGTACAGCAGGCTGGTTTTAAAGACCCTGTTTTTTTCAGCAACACTTGCCCATCGACCATGTAATTCAGGGCCTTTCACATTACAAGGCTTTTGCTGTGATTTCACTGTTATGAACTCCTAATGTTAGGATATTCTGGAGTTGATTGGGAGCTGGGGGAACATCATTGATTGTATTGCACTGGGTGGGCTTTTCGAATATCATAGCAAACCTTTTGGTTTGAAAGGTGCTGCGAATGCAGGAAACTTTTGTGTTTGGATAGAGAAAGTCATTCACTTTTAATTAAATATTTTATGGTTGAGATGGAAAGTCATTCAGAATGGCTTGAAGTGAAACAGTGCATTGGCGAGAAATTTGCTTACTCTGATTTCTTTCCAGTGGCGGTGATGGAAACCAGAGGTTGTGGTGTCTATAACCAAATACAGCCGTTTTATTAACAATCCAAAACACAAGTAAACTTAAAATATGTCTTTTGAGTTTTTACATCACTGCTGTCAGATCAAAATATTGTATCTCTAATGTAGTAACTTTACAGGAGAAAGAAAAAACATACTTTACTTTTGATATAAGTCAATGCAATCAGACATTTTTCCATGTAATTTTGGGTTGTTTCTTTTGGTCCATTCATCGTGATATTTACACACAATGTAAAGGGCAACAGGCATTTTCAAATTATGTCAAAAACTAAAAAATGACAAAAATGGAGATACAAGGTTTTGTTCCTAGAGCAGCGAAATGTAATGTTGATAATGGTAATGTAGTAGTCAATCTGAAAAAAAAATCTTTGGGGACTGTTTTGCCTTTCAATACCCTGCATATAACATCATGATTGTATGTAAAAATTGCATTTAGGCCAAAATCCTGTCTCAAACTGTCATAAAACAAAGTCTCAGGCATCAGGCTGTTTGTTCCTAACCATAGAATGTAACAACTTTCTGTGATGGAGCTTTTAGAGGCATTAAACTCTTTAGGCATTAAAGACATCTGGTTCCTATCAGCACCACTGTGAAAAATTCTGACTAAGCAAGTTTCTCTAAAATGGTGCACTTCACATCAAACCACTCGGAATGGCTTTGTTTACGTCACAATGATTTGATTATGCGGTTGTTTAGAAAAATCGGTGGAATTCCCCCTTCAAGGGCAAACTGACGAAAAGTCAAATCCCCCCAAATGCAGCTGATCAGCCGAAGCTTATTTGGTGTTGGACAAAATTCATGCCTCTGGATGGCTGTCCCTACGTTTTTTGGGGTTTTTTTTTGGCTATGCAAAGTACCTTTGTCCATTTATTGGTAAGAGTACGTCATACAGCATCAGAAAGCACATTTATTTCAGATTGCTTAACAACTTAGCACAGTTTGAGGAGAGTGTGTGAGGATTTAGGCATGCAGTTTGCATAATGCTAACTGGTGGCCATAAGCTCCCATTACTTTTTCGTAAAATTAGCTTTGTACCTCCAAATGAACAAAAAAGCAAGCTCCTGACAGCAAACATATCTTGGCTGATCAACTACATTTGAGGTAAGAAGAAAAAATTCTTTGATTTTTTTTTCCAAACTATCACTTTAATCTACTTAAAGAGGAATTCCTAATAATTTTTAAAAAGTTCTGTGTAATTCATTCAGCCAGATGTACACAGAGTCATTCAGAGTGGTTTGATGTGAAAAGGTTCATTGCAGAGAAACGTAAAAGCTCAGATTCCCTTACAGTGGTGGTGATGGGAACCAGGCGTCGTGATGTCTACAACACAAATATTGCCATTTTATTTACTGACCAAAAAAACAGTGACCTGACAAGTGAAAGGATTTAAAAATGTATGTTTTAGGCCACAAATTTGTGACCACTTTTATGTCATAACTTTCACTGAGATGGATTTTAGAAGCATTAAACTCTTTGGATGTCTGGTTTCTATAACGCCCACTGTAAAAACTCTATGTTTCTCTGGAAAGGCACATTAAATATGTTTAATCTGTTCAATCAGCAGCGTAGCTTCAGCATTGTAATTTGCCAGTCTGAAAAATGTTTTCAGTTCCAGCAATTATAGGTCAGTCCGCAACCTCCCGCTGCCCATAGCACTCTTCACCCATGAGTGTTACACAAGCACCGCCCAGTCGCACAGATGGGCCCGACACCCTGCACGTCCAAACAATCCAAACATTTAAACTGGAAAGAGGAGCCGCTTCACACAGTGTGAGGGGCCGAAAGTATCTGAAGCATTTGCAGACCCTCTTTCAAGTTCCCTGTTTACTTTGGGAAGTTTGTTATTTTTCTCCGTAATGTTTTGTGTGTACAGAACCAAGGCTTGTCTTTTTTTGTCTAATGTAAAAGCAGATACGTATGTGTTTTTAAAGAAACGTGATGTCTTTTAAGAAAATACAGTGAAAAAAAAACAGCACTTTTGTCTGCATTCTTTCTTGATGAAATCTCACTTTTATGCATTGTTTTAAAGCATTCTGATGTTTCACAGGTCTGAAGCTGTGAGGTAATAACATATCAGTCACATCCACAATTAGATGGTGCAGTAAAAGAGCTGATCAGATACATCTTCTGTCCTAATAAGGATGTTTACGTATCGCTTTTGTCGGAAGAAAACCTCGTATCTCCAAAATGGTAACTTTACAGGAGAAGGAAAAAACATACTTTACTTTTAATGTAAGTCAATGGAACCAGACTTTTTCCCCAAGTCATTTTGGGCCGTTTCTTTTGGTCCATTCCTCATGAAATTTACACACAATATGAAGGGCAACAGGCATTTTCAAATTATGTCAAAAACTGAAAAACGACAAAGAGATACAAGATCTTCTTCCGACAGCAGCGACATGCAGGAAAGACTTGAATGGCACTTTGATTGGCTACACATGATGAGTCCACAATGACCAGCTCTTTACCCAGTTAGTTTTCACATGAAAGTAGCCAAGCTCAATCTGTGTTGAATAGAACTACTGTTTTAACATCTGTAAATGCAACAAGTTTTTACTCCAAGCAATTTTACGCCATTTCTATTGGTCATCATGAAATTTTCACACAACGTCAGGTCAGTTGGCATTCTCAAATGATGTAAAATACACTGTATTGCCAAAAATATGTGAACACCCCTTCTAATTATTGAGTTCAGTTGTTTCAGCCACACCCATCGCTAACAGTTGTTTTAAGTCAAGCATGTCGCCATGCAGTCTCCATAAAACACAGGCAGTAGAAAGGACTGTAATGAAGAGCTTAATGACTTTAAATGTGGTACTGTCAAAAGATGCCTTTGCCATGAGTCAGTTTGTGAAATTTCCTCCCTGCTAGATCTGCCCTAGACAACTGTAAGTGCTACTATTATGAAACAGAAGCATCTAGGACCCGTGTGTCAAACACAAGGCCCGCGGGCCAAATAAGGCCCGCCATGCAATCCTATCCGGCCCGCAACAGTATTTTAATTTTCTATTAATATTAGCCCGTTTCACAATGTGTTGCACTGCACTCCCCAGCATGCACTGCAACATAATGTGCTCCAACTCTCCTAACCAAGCAAAACAATGGCCAGATCAGGTTATCGTACAACATTAATTAAAAATGAAATAAAACCTTTTTTTCTCTGGCCCACAGATTTGATGACATTTTTAATATGACCCTTCTACTGGTTGAGTTTAACACCCCAAATCTAGGAGCAACAGCAGATCAGCAATGAAGTGGTAGACCACACAAACTCACAAAGCAGGGCTGCTGAGTGCTGAAGCATGTACCATGCATTAAAAATCGCCTTTTCTTTTTGACATCACTCACTACACAGTTCCAAACTGCCTCTGGGAGCAACATCAGCACAAGAACTGTGCATCAGGATGGGTTTCAATGGCCGATAAACTGCACACAAGCCTAAGATGCCTATGTGCAATGCCAAGTGTCGGCTGGAATGGTGTAAAGCACTGTTCACCAACCCCGGTCTGGTCCTGTAGATCTACCTTTCTGCCACACCTGCTCCAGCTATTCTTCAGATGCTTAGATTTAGGTGTGGAGGAAGCAGCATGTTAGATGAAGGTTGGAACCGAACTCTGCATGAAAGTAGATCACCAGGAGGAGGGTTGGTGACCCTTGTGTGCACCCAGCCACTGGACTCTGGAGTAGAAACATTCTCTGGAGTGCTTGGAAAAAAATTAATTCCAAGCTAGGTTTTGCCATCCCACAATTCCTCATGAGATTTTGTTTGGCGAAGGAGTCGTCAAACCAAACAATGCTATTAGCGTTTTTAAATCAAAATTTCCACAAATTATATCAAAACTGAGTTCCTTCGTGAGATTTTGTTTGGTGTATCTTTGAGAATATACCAATAAATATTTACAGACAAAGGAGTAGTCAAACCAAACAATGCTAGCATGGCTAATAATGAATGAAATAGTTTTACTAGCTTTATTAGCATCTGTTTACTGGCAAATAATATATGAAACCTAATGTGCAACTAGCAAAGCTAACTTTCATTGACTGTTAGCCCTATTAGCATTGTTTGTTTGGACTCCTTTAACTTTCACCCAGTCACAGTATCAAAGGTTCTTCATCTAAGAAAGCGGAGGGTGAAATTAGTGCCAACCAAACAGCACAGCCTTGTTTAGTGATGGTGCCCAGATAGCAAGAGGATAGCAGGCTGCTGTTGGCTCACTAATGGCAAAGCTGGAGGCCCACTGGCTTTTTGCTTTTTCCGGGTGCCCCACCAGTGGTTAAGCAGAGTATTAGCCACTCACAGCCCAATTTACTTGTTTTCCCAGCATTTCTTTCTTTTATTAAGTCAGTATTACTTAAGTAATTAATTTTATCAGCAACATCATGAATAAAGCTGGTTATGCGGCTGTAACTATCAATTTTTAACAAAATTATTTTTTATTAGGCCTTGTCATCATTTTTTTTCCTCTCAGTTGTTTGTAACATTTGTTTTATTTTCCAAAATAAAAGGTTTTGCACATTTAAAATCTATTTGAGGAGATTAAAAACTAGTTAGAAGAGAACAGGACAATAATCTGGGTGGCCCGAGGGTGGACAAGCAGTGGCAAACAGCCAGTGGACCAATATATCTGTTTGCTATCTGGGTGCTTGCGTTTATCCATTATTAGCAGCATTAGGGGTTTTTGCTTTAAGGCTAATTACTGTTTTATTGCGTTGCACCAACTCTCCAACTCAGTCATCCCAAATCTTTCTCATGCTTTCCATCTCTGTTCTGTGTTTGTTGTCGAGTTTCAGTGTCCGTGGTAACAGAATAAACGGAATAAAGCTCGTCTCCAGTAAGAGGTCAGTTCTCAGGTATGTGGACCATGCAGTGATGACAGAGCACTACAAAAAGCCAGACACACACATGTTCACAGAACTGGGGCTTTCGGTGGTCCGCAGGATTTGTAGTGGTCATTAACAAGAGCACAGTTAAATGAATGGCTTACTGTAGTTAAGGCCACTCGTAGTTTTATAAATGTCTTTGTGTGGTGGGGCTAATGTACACTAGATAGTGAAACAAAGGCCCAGAGCTAAAATAGAGCTCAGAGATTTGTGCTCTGATGGTTTGGACCCTTTTTCCTGTCACTCAGGCCGATGTTTCACAAACAGCAACAACCAGTTAAATGAGAATTCATGTGTTTGGAAACATATTGGGAAAATGTTAAATAAAATCTCACAAAGGAATTCATAGAAAATGTGATAAAAAATGCTAATAAAGCTAGGAAAACTATCTATTATTCATTGTTAGCCATGCTAGCATTGTTTGGTTTGACTACTCCTTCGTCTGTAAGTATTTTTTTGTATATTCTCAAAGATATATTGGGAATACACCAAACAAAATCTCACGAAGGAACTAAGTTGTAGGAATTTTGATATAAAAATGCTAATAAAGTTAGCAAAACTGTCTTTCATTCATTGTTAGCCTTGCTAGCATTGTTTGTTTTGACTACTCCTTCGCCAAACAAAATCTCATGAAGGAACTTGGATTCTTGAAGAATTTGTAGGAAATGTAATTAAAAAAAGCTAATAAAGTTAGCAAAACTACCATCAGTATTAGCCATGCTAGCATTGTTTGGTTTGACTACTCCTTTGTCTGGAAATATTTATTGGTATATTTTCGAAGATATACTGGGAATACACCAAACAAAATCTCACAAAGGAACTCGGTTTTTATAAAATTTATAGGAATTTTGATTCAACAACTATCTTCTATTCATTGTTAGCCATGCTAGCACTGTTTGTTTTGACTACTTCTTCATCTGTACGTACATATTGGTATATTCTCAAAGATATACTGGGAATACGCCAAACAAAATCTCATGAAGGAACTCAGTTTTCATATAATTTGTAGGAATTATGATAACAAAATGCTAATAAAGCTAGCAAAACTATCTTTCATTCATTGTTAGCCATGCTAGCGTTGTTTGGTTTGATTATTCGTTCGCCTGTTAAAGAGATGGTAATTTTGTTGGATTTCATACGCATAAAGTTGGGTTTTGCCACCCCAGCTCTGTCCTTAATCATTGCTATCTTTTAATACAAGTAGTAAAACATTAATTTCTGTGAGTTTGCCACTGGGAGACTGTGTCGAGCATGTAGTTCTGTCTCCACAGCTGCTGTAACTGTATGATGTTATTCCGAAACATCTGAAAACACTTCCCAACAGGAGTATTCTTTAAGGGAGATGGTAAAATGATCATAGGGAATAGAGTTTACTTTTGGACAAGCTTGCACAAGGGAGTGATTCACAATGATGTCAAGGTTTTAATAGTGTACAGTTTAGATTCACTGGCTACAAAGTGGGTTTCCCAAAGCCACAGTGGGTTAACTGGCACCACCTTGGTTCTTTTCCTGGAATCAGAGGCCTGTAGATTTGTATAGCAAAGTTTTTAAAAATTTGCCAAACCATTTTAAAATCAAGTTTACAATTTGCCCCTTACTCTAAGTAAAGTTGATTAGCCAAGATATTTTTGGTGTTTGAAAATTGCTTCTTTAGCTTTGCTTTGAAGCCAAAAATGTACTTTTGTTCACTTTTATACATAGCAGTATGCCATACAGTGTCAGAAACAACATAAGTAGGTCTATTAGCTTCGTAGCACCAGTGCAAAACTGTAACATCCGTTCACTCTTTGTCCTGGTCTTTCTCTGTTTTTGCCTTTTTCTTGGTTTCCCAGTGCTGTGTTTTTGTACATCTGCCATGTGCTTTTGTTTTGTGACATGTACTTTTGTTGTCATGTTGGCTCCTCCCCTGTCCTGCCCTGTCTTCACCTGTTCTTTGTCTCCTAGCACCGCTCTCTCATTGGTCTCAGGTGTTTCCCGTTTTCTGTTAGTATTTAATACCCCTGTGTTTGCTCAGTCCCTTGGTCTTGCATTGTCTATATACCCTGTTGCTGTTTCTTGTTTAGTTCTGGTTTACTTTGTTTGGTCTTGTCATGG